GGCATTAGCAGCCGATCGGCAATCTCCGGCACATGCGCAGATACGTCGAGGGGACAGATCCTCATAGGAGACAGATTTTCATGCTACACCGGTCTTCAGGGCGGACTGTGAGAGGAGCCTAGCGGGAGCCTAGCTCTGCGGGCCGGATTAAAAGGTCCGCCGGGCCGTAGTTTGCCCATTGCTGCCCTATTGTCTGTCACCTGGTGGGCAGTGTGCTCCGGAGCCGCAGCCAAGGTGAAAAAGATCCGCGGGTTGCCGACACCCGGACTAGAGAATCTTGTTCCTCACAGTCTGAGAGTCATTTAGTTGCTTTTTTGCAAACTCCAAACTGCCAGAAAGCCCAGATCAGTGGAGGGCTGCAGTGATGGTTATCCTTCTTTAACTTTGTCCCATCTCCACGCATGATCTCTGGAGCTCATTCAGATTGACCATTGGATTCTTGGTCACCTCTCTTACTAAGGCCCTCCCCCCCGATTGCTCAGTTTGGCCAGTCAACCAGCTATTGGAAGAGTTCTGGTTCTGTCAACTTCTACCATTTGAGAAATATAGAGGCCACTGTGCTCTTGGGAACCTTCAGTACAGCAGCATTTTTTGTAGCCTTCCCCATATCTGTACCTTGCAATAATCCTTTCTCTAAGCTCTGCTGGCAGTCCCTTTTGACCAAAATGCATTGTCAGCTGTGAGGCCTTGTATAGAGACGTGTGTGCCTTTCCAAGTCATGTGTACAAATATCTCAGCAACAATCAAGAGAAATGGGAGGTACCTGAGCTAAATTTCTAATTTTTATAAACTCACAGACCATTTTAACCACTTCAATACTGGGCACTTTTATCCTCTTCCTGCCCAGGTCAATTTTCAGATTTCAGTGTTTTTGCACTTTGATTGACAATTGTGCAGTCATGCAAAACTATACCCATAAAATATTTTTATCATTTTTTTCACACAAATAGAGCTTTCTTTTGGTGGTATTTAATCACCACTGAGTTTTTTATTATTTGCTACATAAACAAAAAAACCCCGAAACTTTAAAAAAAAAACAACTTGTTTTTCTTTGTTTCTGTTATAAAATTTAGCAAATAACATTTCTTTATAAATTTAGGTCAAAATGTATTCTGCTACATTTCTTCGGTGAAAATACCCCAAATTAGTTTATATTATTTAGTGTGTAGGAAAGTTATAGAGTCCATAAACGATAATATTTATATCTGACAATCGATCAATCCTGATGTACTGACGGTCATCTCATTTCTTGAGGCCTGAAAATGCCAGGATAGTACAAATACCCCCCAAATTACCATTTTTTTTTGGAAAATAGACAGTCCAAGGTATTTAGTAAGAGGCAAGGTGAGTTTTTTGGAGGTTGTAATTTATTGTTACAAATTTTTTGGAAAATGTAGAAATTTACGAAAAAAAAAATCACTTTTTTTTTTAAAAAAATATATTGTCACCAGTCCAGAAAAATGTTGTTATATAACTGGTAGGCGGTGATCAGGGACACTGACTGGTGACAGTATATAAAAAAAAAATTAAATTTTTTTTTTTTTTTTCACAATGTGATCAAAGCAATACAATGTTACCATAGTAACATTTAACTCCTCTTGGCAAGTGATCAGGATTTTTTTTTTTTTACACATTGTGATCAATGTATTTCATTGATATTTGCAATCATTGTTACTGAATGAAACTGATTCATTCAGTCTTTTGTTGTGATTACCTGTGATTAGGCAAAGCTCATCACATGATACAAATGGGCTGTGATTGGCTCTGTCTGTACCATGTGACTGCTTTGACCAATCACAGCTAACAACACACCCTGATGCAATTTGACATCTGTGAGGGTGCGGGTCCTCGAACACACACTGACTGCACTATCTACAGAGTCCTGGTAGTTAAATCTTTGTATGCTAGTTTAAGCTCTTTGCACTATATAATGTAAGTCTATAATAAATCAAATTAATGAGTTAATAGAGAATTTTATTTTTTATTGTAAATTTCAGACAGTAAAGATATTAAGGCTGGCTTTCTGGCTTATAAAATGGAAGCAAATATTGATCTTGTAAATCAAAGTAGTCTGTCCATGGTCTCTAATTTAGTTTAGTTTAACATATTGGTTGTTTTATATGTGCAAGGAAATTCTTCTGGCGTCTGGTCTCAGCAAACTAGATCTGTGTTTGTGTGCAGACCATGACATCACCTGCCCTTTTCAAATGGGTGACAAAACGGGGGCTAGAAGACAGCAGGGCCTGTCTCAGACAAGAAACATGCTTACAGTCTAGTAATGTTTTATTAAAGCATAATACTGTATTTTATGTATGAAATGGAAGAGTTCACACTTTTTTTAAAAATATATTTCTTTTGAGCTTATTGCCATGACAACAGCAAAGGCAGTTGACTTTGTAAATGTACTAATTTATTCAGTTGAAATTATGTTTGTGAAGTTCTGTTTTATGGAAATCATAATGGGTATAGGAAAAAAAACGAAGCCCCTTGCTGATGCTTGTGCTTTCCTGTGGTCCAGCAATCAGTTGGTGGATGTGGGTTTGTTCCATTTGCTAGTCATTGTTCACTTTGAGAAAGTATTTAAAATTCTCCATATTTTCTTTGATCCTCCTTTCCATGTAGCTTCATTTCTCTGGAAGTGCTGTTATCTTCTTGGCTCCTGTGTCATCACTGGGACTGCTGAGGTTCCCCCTCTGCTGGAGCTTAAAAAGGGATCCAGGAGGTTTTCCCATGTCATTTTCTTTAGATGTAGGTGAATGTGGGGTGCTCTGTTAGATCCCTTCTCCTTGCTTCGGAGGCAGAGGGTAATCAGAAGTGACAGTGTCCTCCTCAGTGTATGTAAGAACACTATGCACAGGGTGTCAAAGCTGTAGAAAATTCACTGCACGCAAACTAGCATTGGAAGGGTCGTTGACTGGCAGAATTACTAGATACTATATGGTTGAATGAGCTTTTAGAAAAATAAAGGTCACGTCCAGCACCTTAAGTTCCCTTTCTTATTTCTGCTCCTGCACAGTAAAGACCTGTAGACTTCAATGGGCTTGTCCACCTCAGTCTCCCGAATAAATATATATATATATATATGTACTACTACAAAAAAATTAAAGAAACACTTTGAAAACACATCAGATCTCAATGGTGAAAAATATCATGCTGGATATCTATACTGATATGGACTGGGTAATGTGTTAGGAATGTAAGGATGCCCCATCGTATGATGGAAATGAAAATTAGCAACGTACAGAGGACTGAATTCAAAGACATCCTGAAAATCAAAGTGAAAAAATGATGCAGCAGGTTAGTCCATTTTGCTTAAATTTCATTGAAGCAACTCAAAATGGTACTCAGTAGTTTGTATGGCTCCCACATGCTTGTATACATGAGCTCCTGTACAGTCTGAGGTGCAACCTGGCGGTGTCGGACGGACCGAAACATGATATGTTGGTATGAGGTGTTTTGTTGGATTTAAGTGAGTGTGAGGCCCATTCAGTGGTATCAATTACTTCATCCTCCAGAAACTGCATGCATACTCTCGCCACATGAGGCCGGGTATTGTCGTGCACCAGGAGGAACCCAGGACCCACCCAGCGTAGAGTCTGACAATGGTTCAGAGGATTTCCTCCCGATGCCTATTGGCAGTCAGAGTGTCATTGTCTAGCCTGTAGAGGTCTGTGCGTCCCTCCATGGATATGCCCCTCCCAGACCATCACTGACCCATCACAAAAACACTCATGCTGAACTATGTTACAGACAGCATAACATTCTCCACGGCTTCTCCAGACCCTTTCATGTCTGTCACGTGCTCAGGGTGAGCCTGCTCTCATCTATGTAAAGCACAGGGCGCCAGTGGCGGACCTGCCAATTGTGGTGTTCAATGGCAAATGCCAATTGAGCTCTATGGTGCCGGGCAGTGAGCACTGGTTCCACTAGAGGACATCGGGCCCTCAGGTCACCCTCATGAAGTCCGTTTCTGATTGTTTGGTCATAGACATCCACACCAGTGGCCTGCTGGAGGTCATTTTGTTGGGCTCTGGCAGTGCTCATCCTGTTCCTCCTAGCACAAAGGAGCAAATACCAGTCCTGTTGACGGGTTAAGGACCTTCTACAGCCCTATCCAGCTCTCCTAGAGTACTGCCTGTCTCCTGGAATCTCCTCCATGCTCTTGAGACTGTGCTGGAAGACACAGCAAAGCTTCTGGCAATGGCACATATTGATGTGCTATCCTGGGGAGTTGGACTGCCAGTGCAACGTCTGCAGGGTCCAGGTATTGCCTCATGCTACCAGTAGTGACACTGACCCTAGCCAAATGTAAAACTAGTGAAAAACAGTCAGAAAAGATGAGAAGGGGAAAAAAAAAAATGTCAGTGGCCTCCACCTGTAAAACCATTCCTGTTTTGGGGGTCACCTCATTGTTGTCCATCTAGTGCACCTGTTGTTAATTTCATTAACACTAAAGCAGCTGAAAATGATTGACAATCCCCTCTGCTACTTAACTGACCAGATCATTATCACAGGAGTCGAATTGACTTGATGCTATACTCTGATTAAAAGGCGCACCTTTAATTTTTTTTTGAGCAGTGTGTGTATATATATATATATATATATATATATATATATATATATATATATATATATATATATATATATATATTCTTGATTTCAGCTTTAAATTACCCCTGTACCCCTACTGAGGAGCAGCTTTGCAGGATCTGTTTGTCTTTTGGAATCACATTTTGGAAAATTTAAAATCCTCTAGCATCTATAAAAACATTTTAGTATTATCTGACACTTCAACAGAGTGAAGAAAGCTATTTGATTACTTGCTGAAATGTTGTTCAACATAGATGAGCATATTAAAAACTGGCACTACAGTGAAGTGTCAATAGTGAAGTGTGACACTAGTGAAGTGCTGTATCTTCTAAATGCAATGTGTCCTTCTTTTGCATGTATATAATATAGTGAGCAAGTGTCATATATACATTTTTTTTTGTATTGTTCAGGTCATTAACCCAATGGGCTGGGATGCCTTTGGACTGCCTGCAGAAAATGCAGCCATTGAACGTGGTTTAAGTCCAGACACATGGACCCAAAGGTAAGGACTGTCTCTGTTGTTTAGCCATAGACATGAAATGGACAGATGTACATGCACGATCTTAAAGTGACTTTAAAGGCTTTATTTTCTTTTTATTTAAATAACAAATACATCATACTTACCTGCTCTGTGCAATGGTTTTGCACAGGGCAATCTTGGTCCCCCTTTGGCACTTCTGGCCCCTTGCTGAGTGCACATGCTTGTGTGTGCTCACTCCTCGGTCACCTCTATATATCTATGGGACACACAGAGCGCAACTCAGCCCCACCCCTTTCTCCCTCCTCACTAGCTGTGATTGAGAGCAACATGAGCCATTGGCCCCCACTGCTGTGTCTGAACCAATGAGGTGTGAGAGACCTGGGAGAGTTGCTGCTCTCATTCACATCGCTGGATTGAGATTCGGCTCAGGTAAGTATTGGGGGGAGGGGGGGCTGAGGGGGAAACTGCACACTGAAAAGGTTTTTTACCTTCATGCATCGAATACATGAAGGTGAAAAAACCATTACCCTTTAGAACTATAGAACCACTTTAACCCAGCCTTTATTTCAAACAGGTTTGTGAGCTTGGATATGCTGATATTGTTAAAGTATGCATATATATTTATGTTTTAAGGTAGAAAAAGATTAAGTGAAGAACGACTGCTGCCATCCATGTAAATGATCAGTATTGCTTGATCTGTCCAATCAAAATAGGATAGACTGGAAGAATCCTCATTTTATGTCTATTGGTACCCTCAGGATTCATGGCACCATAATAAGGTTTTAGGCATACAAAAGTCAGTGTAGTTTAGCCTCCCCTTTAAATGCAAATACTATATTGATCAAGAAGTTAAAACACATCCCTAATGAGAAAAGTATTTTTTTTTCATCCCAGTCTGGAAAATCTGCCTCATTAATGCTTATTTAAAATTGAACATAGGCTAATGCAGCTGTACTTGGCTCTGCTCCCTTCCTAGGCCAGCAATTTTAGTCCACTGTCCTGTAGGCTGATCTTAAAGACGAACAAAACTATCCTTTCCTTTACAACAGGCGTCAATAAGTGACGGACCGTGGGCCGGACCCGGATCGAATGACAGTCCTATCCAGACTGCGGCTCCGCCACCCAGCAGCCTGGGTGTCCTCTCCTGGCTGATTACCTCCCCTGTTGCTGCCTCAGCTTTCATCCCTGCAACAGCTGGCAGGCAGAAGGCGTGGCACACCCGGACAGAGGGCGGGACCACCCAAGCCGGTGACTTGCCACCAGGACACGGAGCGGTCCCAGCAACTAATAACCCGCCACCAACAGGAAAAGCAGGGCAGTCCCGCCCCCCCGTGATGTGAAGGGAATTCTAAATTGTACAGGGGGACTGTATTGTAAAGGGGAATGCTGTGATCTTGTGGGCAGCTAAGTCAAAGACCTCTTGCACACAAAAGTAAAAGGATAAGTTCACCTTTTAACACCTTTTTTTGCTGGTAAAAAAAATGTGCGTTTATTTATTTTTTTGTTTGTGAAGCCTCCAAAGCATTGCACCAGCTTTCATCAGATCGCTGGTGCCATGCAGGTCTCCCCCTAACCTGTCAGTATATCTGCTTGCTCGTACCTCCCGTAGGGCAAGCAGATACTTACTGACAGGAAGGCTCAATGAACTAACTATGAGCACCGTGGTAGTTCATTGAAAACTACAAGCCAACAGCTGTAAAGGCTGCCAGGATTTGTAGTTTTCCCATTCACAGAATACTGTAAATGAGTGCTGTGTTTTTTTTTTTTGTTTTTTTTTTTTTATTTTGACAGCTAGCAGTGAAGAGTAGATCCCTGCCAGCTGTCACAATAGGGATTGGGGGTGTGCGGGGGCCAGTCTGATTGTAACATGTTTAATGTGACACCCTGAATATGGGTGTAACATGAAACATGTTATGAAAGGTGAACTTATCCTTTAAAAATGCTGCACTTTTTTACTGATCTGAAATTAGATACATTGTTGTCTATGGAACATTGCACACAGCTGAGTAAAGATCAGTAATACAGCATTGAATACAGAGCAGTAAAACAAAACGAGAAAATTTTTCATTTGAGTGCAGTAATTTTACTTGCATACGTGTGTTTAATCGTCCATAAGCATGTTTTACAATACTGGCAATGAAGAAGAATTTTACTTATACACTTATGCACCTTTACTCTCCTGTACTCAACATCACTCAGGTCTTTACACATCTTTACACACAGTTTTTGGCCCGTTGTACATGGGCACCACAAGCTCCTGTGTAAATATCAGTAAATTATGATACCCGTGTGCAAGGGGCCTAATAATGAAGTCTACCAGGTAAGATGTGGACCTAAGAATGGATTTTTATTCTGACACAAAGCTCTCCAAGGCCAAGAACAAGACTTGTTAGGATTCTGAAAAAAACAAGTTTCTTTTCTGTACATCAGTCATCAACTGTGGTGCCCCTCACCTCACCATGTATAGGTGAAAAACCTAGGATATATATATATATATATATATATATATATATATATATTAGCAGAATCAACAGCTAAGACCTCCAAATGTCATGTGGCCTTCAGATTAGCACAACAACAGTGCATAGAGAGCTTCATGGAATGGGATTCCATGGCCAAGCAGCTGCATCCAAGCCTTGCATCACCAAGGGCAATGCAAAGCGTCAGATGCAGTGGTATAAAGCATGCCGCCACTGGTCTCAGAGCAGTGGAGATGTGTTCTCTAGAGTGACGAATCACGCTTCTCTGTCTGGCAATCCAATGGATTTGTCTGGGTTTGGCAGTTGCCAGGAGAATAGTACTTGCCTTACTGCATTGTCCCAAGTGTAAAATTTGGTGGGGGGGGGATTAAGGTGTGGGGTTGTTTTTCAAGGTTTGGGCTTGGCCCCTTAGTTCCAGTGAAGGAAACTCTTGAGGTGTTAGCATACTAAGTCATTTTGGACAATTTCATGCTCCCAACTTTGTGGGAAGAGTTTGGGAATGGCCCCTTCCTGTTCCAACATGATTACGCACCAGTGCACAAAGCAAGGCCCATAAAGACATGGATGAGCAAGTTTGGGGCGGAGGAACTTGACTGGCCTGCCCTCAACCTGATAGAACACCTTTGGGCTGAATTAGAGTAGAGACTACGAGCCAGGCCTTATCGTCCAACATCAGTGCCTGACCTCACAAATGCTCTTCTGGAAGAATTGTCAAACATTCCCATAGACACACCCCTAAACCTTGTAGACAGCCTTCCCAGAAGAGTTGAAGCTGTTATAGCTGCAAAGGTTGGGCCAAATCAATATAGAAGACTAAGACTGGGATGTCTTTATTCATGTTATTAGTTCATGTGCATGTAAAGGTAGGCGTCCCAATGTCCCAATACTTTTGGCAATATAGTGTATGTGTGTATATATATTACACATACATACATACATACATACACACTATATTGCCAAAGGTATTAGGACACCCCTCAATATCATTGGATTCCGGTGTTCCAACCACCCCCATGGCCACAGATGGCTTGTATAGTAGGGAGGGACTCAGCTGGGTTAAACACAGAGAGGAGAACATCGTCTGCATAGAGTCCTATGTTGTGTTCTTCTGAATCAACTGAGATACGGGGGTTATGCCTGATTGAAGCCGGTAGTGGTTTCATGACTCGGGCAAAGATAATGAGCGACAGGAGACAGCTCTGTTGCGTGCCATTAGTAATAGTGAAAGGGGTAGAAAGAAACCCTGAGGGCCAGACTAGATAGTGTGGCTGAATTATATTAGTATCCCTTCAGGTACAACCAATGTATTCTGTTGAAGGCCTTCTCTACGTCTAAAGACAGAAGCAGGAAAGACCTTTGATGAAATTCTGCCCATTGGATAAGATCTACAAAATGTCTTGTCCCATCATAAGCTGTCTCCCCTGGACAAACCTTACCTGATCTTAATGAACCAGCAACAGTAAAAGTAATGAGATAACCGCGATGCCAGGATTTTAGTGTAGTTCTTTATGGTCAAGTTTAAAAGTGAGATTGCTCTGAAGTTTGCTCAGTTATCTGGTGACTTTCCAGGTTTAGGCAATGTCACTATAAGGGCTTCTAGTGATTCTCTAGGGATTTTACCAGCAGGTGAGAGCTTTTTGCAGATATCAATTCCTCCTTATCTTGGAGATTGAGGTTAGTTTTGTGAGAGTGTCCCACTACCTAAAAGACCTCTAATAATGGCTTTATACGTCTTTCAGAGAAGTGCACCTTCAGAAACAGAGCCAGAATTAGACTGAATTACAGTGAAAAATTGAGACATCTCCTATTTGATCTTTTCCTGGTAGGATGGGTGAGACAGTAGGGGGGTATTCAATCTCAAAATAGAATGGGTTCTCTTATTCAAAGTAGTATATAACTGAAGAGATTGGGCATGGTCCAACCAGGTAAGAGAGCCGATTTTGAACAGAGCTGATTGATTGTAATAAAATTTTGTTAACCATAAAAAGATCACTTCTAGAAAATGACTGCGTAGAGGAATAAAAATGTAGTCTTTCTGTATCATGTAAACATCTCCACGGTTTGTAAAGATCTGCTGTAAGGAGGCAGGAAGACAGAGCAGTAGCTCTTCTTCTGCGTGCATTAGAGGAGTCCTGCCTACAGTCTATAACCCCATTATATATATATCTAATTGATCCTTTGGGCAGGGGCAGAGCCTGTCCATAAGTGATCTAAAGAAGCATTTTTGGCACATATTAAGGGCGTAAAGAGTAACTATAACCAGAGGTTGTCAAATTAGGTGGAAAGGATGATATAACGACCTTGGGAGTCAGAATCTATGTGGTGTGTTGAAAAGAAAGAAATGTCTGATTGCTAACATCACTCCTCAGATTGATGTTGTTCCTTCTGGATCAACTATTTCATTCAAAGCCTTAGGCCTGTTTCACAGCAATGCGTTTTCTTGGTGATTTTTTGCAAAAACGCACTACAGTCCATTTATCATGGTTTCCTGTGGAACATGTTAACATCTATGCGATTCTGATGCATTTTTTACACGTTTTG